AAATGTGCACTTGACCAGCCCTCTGCTCACTGGTTTTGTTGCTTGGCTCAGTGAGTTTTTGATCCACCTCTTGCACAGAAAAAACATGTTTTATTTTATACACAATAAGTGGACAACTATATAAAATATATATAACTCGCAGAAAAACCTTTAACTTTTCATGAATCTTTTTCCTGAGCAAGATTATGGAAATACTTTCAGCAATATTTGGTACTACCTATGCAAGCTTTGCTGTGCTAGTCCGTGAATGCTGTGGAAGGAGAAAAGGGGAGGGAGAATAGATGTGTCTTTAAAACAAATGGCTTTGGAACTTCGTCTCAAAACTGATCAGAAACAGAAAATGGGTTGCTATATTAAGGGCATTCCTTTTACAGTTTACCCACAAGAAATATGTTTTTCCTGGAGAAAGCTGCTAAGCAGCTGGCAGATGAAGCCAACTGTTAAGCTCTCTAAGAGAGGAACCACCTCTCCAGTCAGTCTTGTAGAAAAGAGTAGTATTAGGGCTCAGTGAGCTGTAAGAGTAGTTTTTCCACCATTTGCTTTCCCAGATTCTTTCTTCTTTATAAGATGCAGAACATTCCCCTATTGCTATGGATTAAAACAGAAAATAAAGTAAGTTTTCAGTCACAAAATTATCTGGTATGAAGAACAGATAAGAATAAAGGCAAATATTTACCCGCCTTGACCTATAACTTGTGGGTTTTGGTAATTTGAATGTGAAACGTAAAACACCTTGCAAAGGAAAGGATTTACTAATATTGTTCATGCTTGTGACAATTTTGAAGAATACACTATCTTGAGAATATAAATTTCCCCCTGGTGCTTTTGCTGAAAAAAATACAGCCTCCTACACGTTCTGAAATTCTGAAAGTTAACTGAGACAGAGGGGAAAAGAATCCCAAGTATTTTACATAACAATTCAACTGAAATTGTGGTAATGCTGTGGCAATTGTAGCAAGAAGCCAAGAGACATAAGAATACAAATACCAGAAACTTTAGTTTTGTGACAGTGGCACGTTTAGCTACTGAATTAACAAGGTACACAGGAATAAGGCAAGAAGAAGTTCGTCAGTGCTTACATAGCGCTTTCTAATCAGATCTAGTTCTATTTAGATTTGCAGGATAACCTGTTAAAGTAACAGATCGAAGCACTGCTTCGTATTTCAGTTTTGCAGCAGGATCAACAAAAGCAGGCATGTGAGGAAGCTTGCTCTGGTGGGTGGTCGATGGTTGGTTCGTTCTTAACTTTAACCTTTACGTGCTTCTAAGAGCAAAACCCAGCCTGAAATGCATGCCTAATGATACCTTAAAGCCTTTAAAAAAAATTGACTCTAACTTTCGGGCCATGTACACACAAGCACATCCAGCACAGCTATACGCACCCCTGAATTTGAGGGCATTTTCTACCACACAAGTTTGTTAGGCAATTTTCACATAGTCATAACTATGTTAAATCAAAGCCAACTGATGTCAATGCCAAAATGTTCAGAAGCCCCACAGCGCCGCATCTTTACATTTGGGAAGTGTTAATGTGCGATATAAACATTTTGCCTTCCAAAGCCACCATGTATACCAGAACGTCAAAAGCAATTAGTATAATATGCACAGAAACACGCACGCACAGACACACACAGACACATAGACAGAATAGTCTCTAGTGTATTCTTACATGAGTGTAACCATTGTGCTGGGAGACTTACAACAAGGGAAGATCCCCCTTCCCCTTCACAAATACACTGCTGTTTTAAATGACAAAATACGCTGTGTAGGAACAGTCAAAGAACTTTTTTTGGCCAGCAGTTAAAAATTCTAACATAGGCTTTAATGAGTGTTTTTTTTCAAGTTACAGGCTGGTGGGGAGGGCGTGAAAGGGAAGGAAATACATCTATTTCCAGCATGAGAGCTACATGAGCTCCACGAATGGACTCCTACTGCCCAGCTCCCCTCCTGAAAGAGCCAAGTTGTACACACAGGAAGAAATAAACCAAGTACTAAATTTGGTCCTACAGGAACTATCAGCTTAATGACTTACCGCTTCCTCCAGAGGAGCTGGGGTGAGGGTAAATGCAAGTAACAATCAACGCTGGTATAAGGTAAGGGCTTGAACAACTCCTCTGTAACATCAAGCAGCTCATACCTTCTCTCCTGGGCTACATAATAGCTGTTGCATTTGTCTCACGTAAATGACCACGCTTCTGTGCTAATACAGTATTAAAGCGAAAAGCAAGTGTTTGAAAATAAAACCAATTCTATGCAGCCGCTACTGTGCAGCTGAGCTCAGTGCAGCCTTTGTACAGATGGGCAAGAAGAAAGGACCCATAAAGCTGGAGAAGAACTTAACTAAAAAACAAGGAATGTTTAAGAAGAAAACATAATAGTTACTGAGAGAGGAAAAAAACCCTTGCTTGCTGGACCTCTGTAAAACCCTACTCTCGTATTTATTTGCAACACAACCACAAGACAAGCAGACAAACACAACCTCACGCAGTCAGAACCAGACTCCCTCTTTCTTCCATTCCCTTGCTACACTCACAGCACAGAAACATGGCCTCTTTCTTGCTGTCCAACACTTCGTACAAGACCCAGTGGCTTGGTCTGGTCCGGGATCTGTCAGCTATGGTACCTGGCACAGGGAAGCAGGAAGAGGAATAGGGGCACGCTTTCTAGTAATGAGAATTTTGCAACTCCACATATGGAGGTTGGCATTGACAGGTAAAGAGAGAAAAGCCACAAGTACAAACGTTCTCACTATTTTCACAGGTCAGATTTCTCACTCGCTGTAAACAATTAGAAAAGAACTCTGAAGAAACCCATCTAATTAATTATGCAGAACTTGTGCTGCTTTTTCCATTAACAGACTGCTAAATAATCAGGGAGGAGGGGGATATATAAAAATCTGCCTTCTATTGCAGGGCTAAGCAATACCTCTGGAGTTACAAATCACATTACACAAATGTTGAAGTGATAGAGGAACCTGAATTCTTGCAGAGGTTGCGCTCATCAGCTACAAAAGCACGTTCTCATGAGCAGCACAAGTCTGTGGTCAAATCTTCGGCTTCCCATTTCCTGCCGAGTGAATCACAAGTCCTCCCTAACCCCTGCTACCTTACGAGGTAGGGCCAGGCAGGAGCAGAGGTTTACACCGTGTTGGCAGGAAGACATTGTCATCATAACGTAGGGAATCAACCATTGTATTACGCACAAAGAAAAAAGACATTTTAGTTTGTCTCAGTGCGTTTATTATTTTATTATGCTGAAATACAATGCCCCTTTTCATCCAGCGAATAATTGACAAATGCATTATTTCCCAATTCATTGCCACAAAGCTGGAATGAGTTAAAATGTGCCTGAAAGAAATCCTCTTAAGCCATTATGACCTGCTATTTTTACTGGTAAACTTCAAGCAATTGATGTGCCCATTACTTAAAGGCAAATTATAAGCAGAACTGTTTGTTTGCCCAGTAGCATATACCTTAAGCACAGACACACAGCAAACCAGCGTGGCCTCTGTACCTATTTACTTTGCCTGGTATATGGAAAAGCCTATTGCAAGTGTTCACAGGATAAAAGGATAAAAGCACTGCAATTCCCATTGGAAGATGCATCTAGAATCTACCCACGTGGCTCATCTTT